TCAAAAATGTAATTAATGACAAACATTAAGTACAAAAAGTGCAGAATCGGACAGTCAAGTTATTGCACATTAAGGCCCAATTAAAAAATATTTTACTTGAAAAAACAGAATTCATTCAGAAATAATGAGTTGCTTTTGCAGCATTTAACGTTTGATAAATTAAAATTCACTCTATAAAAATATCTAACAGGTAGAGAATGTGTGATGAAGCTCAAGTTGGTAGTATTTTTAATGCACAGAGGGATTGTGCACACGCTGCCTCTTTTCCTTCATGACTCTCCTTCTGGCTTCGGGCCGACGTGATGTGTGTATAAAAACCTTAATTTACAATACTAGCAGGTTACTTCACAGGTTTATGCAGCTGCACATCCATACGTGGAAAGATTTCCTTTAGCAGCAGCAGGAGTCCTATCAGATGCAGATTGTGATTTTCTGTGAAATCTCAATCTGTGTTGTTCCCTCTCATGTAAAGAGAAGCCTTTTTTTTTTAATGGAGCGATGCAGTTCATAGTTGCACCACATGATGGCAGCACTGCACAGAGAGATTGCAGGAGCAGGTGCTGATGGAGCCTTACAGATCAGTGTGACTGTGGTTAAGCCATTTGATTATGATCTGCACTTCACTGTATTTATTATATGTATTTATTTCATTCATACATTCACTGTGACACATCTTTACGCTGGTTTTGTTCACTTAACTTTTGTTCACTTAACTTTTGTTCACGATGGAAGGAGAGTCATTACTCACTACTAAGAAAATCTCAGAACAGTTCAGCTGCAGGACTACATTTAGTGAATAAAGTGAACATGCATATTCTCCGTGCATCATAGTTATTTGTGTTTGAACAGGAACAAAGTTAGAGCATCATTAGACGACGTGCTGGCGGTTTAATTGGTCGTTTAATTACGTTACGAGCTGTAGGGTCACATCTCTGTGATCGAGGTGATTACTCAGCCAGGGTTAAAACTGAACTGCAGCCCTTCATTGACACCCTGATTCCTCACACTCTCTTTTAATGGTGTGTGTAAACCTAAAGTGCAAGCTTGAGATCACACCCTGTAGCACACCCCCCCCCCCCCCCCCACCCTCACAGAAGTGTGAGATTAACTGTGTTTAAATTAAAAGAAGAGATGCACCCATTGTGAAAACCAGAGCCGATATTTATCGCGATATTTAGCCGATATTTATGACTTCTTTTGGTGTTAGGGTGGTTTCACATTAGGGACCCGGGTCCAAATCGAGTTCACTTGACCCCAAAGTCCAGTTCATTTGATGAGTGTGAACACAAGGAAGTGGACCCGCTATATGACGTAATTCTAAACGGCTCCTGTCACTTCAAAAACAGTCAAAATCACGCAGCACGGGCCTGTTTTATCTTCTGAGCTACACAGTGGATGTGGAAGTAGGAAGAGGGATGTTGTTGGCGTCATAGAAGTATCAAAAACATTCAAAGTTACTCGGATGGACTCAGCCTTCAAGTGGTGTGATGTCATGATATGTGTCCAATTACTCATCTTTTTTAAACCCTCTCAAGCCCTCGTAGACCCGTGCACTCAAGCCCGGCAGACCTGACGCCATTAGAGTCCGTGAGGGATCAGTGGTTAGGCGTTCTGGTAGATGTGACTGACAGTGAACTGATTTATCCGTCTCTCCGTGCAGCACTCTGGCTCTGACCCGCATCAGCTCCGAGGACGAGGCCATCTACCAGTGCATCGCCGAGAACAGCGCAGGCACCAACCAGGCCAGCGCCCGCCTGGCTGTGGCCCAGGCCAAAGACCTGCCCGCGGCCCCCGAGGGCCTCACAGCCGGCGCCATGTCCACCAGCGCCCTGCAGATCACCTGGACCGAGCCGCCCCCCAACGTCACGGAGGGCATCATCGGCTACGTGCTGCACATCCGCAAGATCGGAGGTGAGCGACGTCAACAGTTCGAGTCTGCAGTGGAAAATATTTCAGATGATAAAAGAAATAAACGTAAATGACGTTTTTTGATTCAGAGCCGGACGGTCTGGAGCTGCAGGAGGCCATCAGTAAAGGAACCTTCCAACACGATGTGGCCAACCTGGAGCCGGCCACCACCTACTCCCTCTACCTGAAGGCATACTCACCTCTGGGAGCCAGCCAGCAGTCCCGCACTGTGGTGGCTACAACACTAGGGGGCGGTAAGACCACTAAACAATCAATGGAAACGTGTATTCACAACGATTCAACTGTGTGATTTATGGCACTTGATTTAGACTGATTCAAAACACCTGGCACATCATTCTTCGAACATGTTTCTTGATGTTTTATTTAAATTATCTTTATCTCCTTATTTGGTTGACATAAATATTGTGTTAAAAAAGTCACAGTTCAGAGCTGCAGATCATGAACTCTTGATTGAGTGTCGAGTCAAAGACGGATAAAATCAGCTTCTTTTTTTTATTGTTTGATAAAAAAAAACACATTAAAATCAGAATGAAAAAAACATGAAGGGTGCAGCAGTTCTGCTTGGTTGCAGGTTAAATTAATCCTGACAATGTGTGCTTGCTTTAGAAAATTCTTGCTCTTCTTGTGCATCAAAATAATCTGTAATTTATAAACAGCAACGGTGTAAAAATATGTAACAAAACCAACAGTTGAACTCTTTGATGAATTCCAGGTAACTGTTTAGGAGCAAACTTTGTAATGAGAGGAGCAATAAAGAGCAGCCTTTTTATGAGGATGTAAAACGAGAATATCAAGTTTATGACTTTTTTATATATTAATATCTCTTCATGCAATAAATGTCCTCATGAAATTAGAAATGATATTCTCTAAGGTCCTTTTTATGAGATTTATAGTATCCAAAGTTTCATTGTCTTAACATTTATCTATTTATTGTGTTCTGTTGTCTTTCCTGTTTCTACCTGTCAGCCTTTAAACCTGTTTCTGTCTCCTCTGAGGAAACCTCAAAGTACTTCTCTGTCTGACGTCGTCGTCATCATTTCTTCCCTCAGTGCCGACCGCCCCGACCTTCTTCACCAAGGTGATGAACACCAGCGCCGTGCAGGTCCTCTGGGAGCTCCCCAGCAAGGCGGGCAAGGCCGAGGGCTTCAGACTGTCCTACCGCAGGGTCCCACACGCCGACTTCCAGGGGCAGATAGAGCTGCCCTGTCACATTAATGCCCACACCATCACTAAGCTGGGTGAGTCTGAGGTTTGAGGGTAAAAATCCTTCAGAAATATAACAAAGTAGCAAAAAGGCAGAGGTCGACAAAGTCCAACCACCAGAAGCTAAGGGAATTTATCACCACATGCAACGATTCAGACCCTCGCCCTTCATAAGAAGAAGGAGAAACACAATCTTCCCTCAGTGCGGTCTCTCAGGCTGTGAACACATACGGCCTGCTTCACTGCAGCTGAGCATGAAAACAACATTTCTGGTTTGGCTGTCCAAAGTTACAGAGGTCGATTTTCAGGGATGCTCTGCAGACACAAACACAAACAGACTTAGTGAATAGGTACAAATGCATAACAAGTTACATATGCATTAATAGGATGAATGAACACTCTAAAACACTGCCCCCCCACCCCTCGTATATCAAAGAGTATAAATGAGCACCAGAGTTTCCGACGGAATTTAAAAAAAAAAAATTTCCACCTATAGCTCACTTTCACCCTGAATGGCACCGTCTGTTTCTCCACCATGTTTGTTTACATAGTGGCCCCACCAGGCTCACTACCTGTTACCATGACAACGCACTTAATCCCGGTCACAAAAGGGCCTCAGCTGCCACTCAGCCGATTTATATATATAATTTCAATCTACTTGGATGAGAAGAAAATGTAAAAACATTGCTGAGAGTCCGAGTGAGCAGAGACTTCACAGTTTTATCCTGTAGATCTCTTCATTGTCAGAAGAAGATATTTTAAAGGTTAGTCACTCTCTCTGGCGATCCATCAGTCAGTTTTTCTCTGTTGTGTCAGAAATGGATTAAATCAGCCGCAGCTCCTTCGAGGCTCCCTCAGCTCTCTTCATTTTAGAAGAAGCTGTCAATCATCGCTTACAATCCACTGAGCATTCAACACGCTCAGTGTTTTCCAGTGTGACTGCAGAAAACTGCAGGCGTCTAAAATACAGTAGTTCCACTTATTTCCTATGACACCCCAATATATATGGAATAGAATAGAAACAGGAAAAAAGCCATATTGTCATTAAACTGTAAAAAAAAAAAGCAGAAAACTGTAATCAATCAAGATGGAGTATTACACAGTGGAAAAGTAACCTGCACTTATACAGTACATTGCACTGGTACTTCAGTAAGTCATTCTTACACAAAGAGAGATGTTGGGGGTTAGGAGAGAGGAGGATGAACTCTACACTGAGTGTGTGAGTGTTGTTGGGGTGGGGTCTGTTCATGTTCGGTTTCAGTGTGACCATAGGTTGTAAACTTTGACCGTGTTGAGAAGTTTTAGGCTAGTGATGGAGGGGGCAGCCATTCCAAAATTAAGGTCGCTAATTTTCATGCAAAGAGCGGTTTATTCTCTGAGAGCCAAGGCGCACCTTCAGGAGAAAATAAGCCGGCTGTTACCTCGTATTTAAAGTGGCAAACTGGACCAACAGAAAGTGAACTGGCATGGATGGTAGAGTCAGACATTAGCAGGGGAAAATCTCAGAGACTGCTGGTGTGCTGCCCGGGGGGGGGGGGGCACACCATTTCCAAATTTGAGGATAAATGTGTGTTGTTTTTTCTCTGTGAACCTTCAAGAGAAAACAACTTCAATACATGCTCCGAGAATAAATGGATGCATTTCTGGAAGAAGGAAACAACACTACAGTTAACAAGAAGTGACCCAAACATTTAGTCCGAGATTTTAGAGTCCTAAATTTGCATGAAAAAAAAAGCGTTGAATCTCAGAAGCTGCTGGTCTGTTTTTTCTACAGAGGAAGGAAAACACAGAAATAACCAGATTGAAACATGGAAGACGCTCTGTGCTTTTACTTCTACTCCTAAAAACGTCTTCATAAATCATCGTCCCCTCTCTGTGAAAGTGCTTCTCCCTGCCAGGCTGAGATGTGAACACAGGATGAAGAGCGGCAGGTTATTGACAGATGTTCCAGAATGACTCGGTCTATTATCCTCCAACCTGTGATGTCACTGTGTGCGGATCCTCTGAACACATATTGATCTGATCAATAATAATCATGTCTGAAGCGGCAGTGTGCCGCATGACAATTACTTTGTCAGTTTATCAGCTAACAGCGCCGTTAGCATTCGTCGAGACGCTCTCAGCAGCAGAAAAGTTTCAAAGAAGAAGACTATTCTGTGAAACGGGTCGCTGCCACTTATTGATTGAGTTAAATTGACGGTGTGAATTACGATCAGCATCAACCAGAAACGGATATTTGGTTTCATAGGAGATGATTCATAAGTCCAGAAAGAAGATATTTATCACAGGAATGAGTCAAGACACCGGGAGGTTCTGTTACTTAATGATCAATGCACAAAGTTAAAGTTGTTCGCTAATCGTCTTATTCCAAGTAATCTCATTTTTAGGATCTGCACTTTCATTTAACCAAAACATCTAAAGCAGATTTTTAGTTTTTTGTGCATGAAGGAGAAATCAATCCTCTGCAGACACAATGTTTTTTAAAGTCTGTGTGTCTCTGTTTCAGACGTTGGTGCTGTGTATGAAGTCAAACTGGTGGCCTACAATGGAAACGGGGAAAGCGACCTTTCCAAGAGACTGGTGTCACTGGCGGAGGAAGGTGTGAGCGGCCCGGCTGCAGGTGAGCGTGAGCAGAGATGGAACACTTGAGCAGATTTTGAACATGTTTTTTATCACCACTGTGAATGCAAAGTGGGATTTTTTTAATTAGTGATCCCAGCTGTGGTAGTTGTTGCTCAACATCTTCCTCTTTAACCAAAAGGTCTATCTCTGTAGGGATTCCTTCTCTAATCCTGTCAGACACTTAGAACAGCCATCAGGATTAACTCACCATTACAGACGTGTCACAGCTGACAGCTGAAGTAATCTTCAAGATCAAATCCCAGAAGCTTCAAACCTTTTAGTCCTGAACTCACCAAGACATGAGAAAATAGTCTGAAAGAGACCTACGTTCCGTGTTAGGTTCATGAACTGACAATAAACTGACAAGCATTTTTTAAATAGAAAACTATGAAAACTTTTTTTTTTCTTTTTTTTTTTTTTAGGGAGCCTTTTATTAAATCTGGCCAGGGACAACAGATGAAAATTAGCCTTTTGGCTAACTCTGGCTTATTTACCGAAATGTTTATTAATATGCAACGTCCCTGTAAAATAAAAAATAAATAAATAAAATTTGATCAAATTGAAATACAGGAACTTAGTGCACATTGCATTCAAAAAGAAGATAAAAAATGTGTTAGGAGAAATGTGCAAAGTGATTAAACCACAAAAGCGCTTTCACAGGTAGCCGAGTGGTTAGTGTGCCTTGTAGGGAGGCGGTAGTCCTCAAAGCAGGCAGCCCGGGTTCAAATCCAACATGTGGTTCCTTTCCTGCCTGTCCTAACTCTCCAATAAAAGCTTAAAAATTAAATCCAAAAAAATTAAATAAAAACATGCTTCAACATTCTCCAGCATTTTCAATTTGTAAAAAGAAAAAAGAAGGACGCCCTAAATGTCAGACCAGATCTAACCGCTCTATCTTTAGTCAGAGTTATGAACATAATCTGATCATTTGTGTCTCCAAAATAAATGTTCAGAGGCTTTCAAGGTGCTTTGCTAGAGTTTGACGATATTCTTTGCATTATTGAAAAAATATGTAAAAATTGGTCGATGCTCTTCGTCGTGTTATTCCTGTTCAAACACCTTAGAAACACTTCCTCTGAGAGGTTCTATGTTTAGACGGACCTCCACACAAGGACCACCGCCGCGCTGCTTCTGTCTGTGGGATGAATTGTACAGAGTGTGTGACCTTGTTGTGTGTGTGTGTGTGTGTGTGTGTGCAGGAGGGAACAGTCTGTGTCAATGCAGGGACGGAGAGGCCTCACTGGGCAGCATCGTCATCGGCATCCACATCGGCACCGCCTGCATCATCTTCTGTGTGCTCTTCCTCATGTTCGGATACAGACGGAGGTTAGTCCCCAATAAAAACCCTCCATCCTCTCATTATTCCCCGTCAGCAGTTCTTCTGGTTACCTTGGTTACCTCTGGTTATCCTCATCATTGTCCTGATATAGAAAACTGGAGCAGGCTAGTTCCATGTACTTCCATGTTTGGTTCTTTAGAGTGTGTACTCACAGCTGGCGACTGTCTTCAGTTTGTTTTGCAGTAAAGGGACTCAGGATAACTGGACCGTACCGAGGGACAACACGGGACATAACGGGGTACCTAAAGACGGAGCAAATCGGCCAAGGATGGAGTCAGTGCCTGAGGTAGTCCTGTCCTAACATTTCAGCTTCATTCAACCCTTTTACTTTGTACATTTCTAAACCTTCTCAGATGTTTGCATCATGTTTGGACTTGATACAGACTGCACTACCAAACTGTAGTATACGACGGGATTCTGTGCCGCTGGACACGTTTTAGAAAATCTAACATCTTGATTCTTTGTTTCTCAGGTCTGTCCGTCACAGTGCCAAGTTGTCATCGAGCAACACATTTCAGGTTTGCCTGGCACGGTAACTGGCTAACACTGGTCAATAATATCAACGCCTAACACCCCCCTACCCTCCAATATTCCCCTGCTCATTTAGAAACCCAACCCCCCCCCCCCCCATCAGGGAGCACCTTCTGCTCTTTATGGGGATCAATCGTAGCTCCAGTCTCCCTAAAAACCTTGCTGCTAACAGCCTGAAAGTAGGGTCCAAAAAAAAAAGTCAACAGAATGCTTTAAAGGTGTGGGAGTCCTTTGCCCCCCCACCCAACCCCACCCTTCCATGTCTACCTCAAACCAAAGCGTATTGCCTTTATTGCCTGTGCATGTGCACATGTGCATGTAGAAAAGTCTTCAACATTGCCTCTCCAGATTCAAGCCCTGTGACATCCTCTCCATGTCGCCTCCCACTGGAGACTGCTCTATAACCAAAATATTTTATTCCTCAGATCTCCTCTGGTGAGCGGGCATGTGGAGATGTGCACAGCGGTCTTAGAAAACCAAAATGAAGCCAAATATCGTCGCTTGACTGGGACGTACCCGTGAGTCTGTAGTGACAGAACTCATTGCCTTCAGTTCCTCTGCAATAAGAAAAGGAAGAAACATAGCGGCCTTTTTGCGAAAGCCTTACGGAGGTGAGAGGTGGGTTAGAAATGATTGTCTTTAGCCATAAATGCCATTTAGAAGAACTCCTTTGATGGACGTTCTTCACTTAACTCTTTTCACCCTTACAAGCTGCACACCTCCAAAGAAAGCTACCTCAGTCTGACCAGGATGTTTGAGCCATAGTTGGGGCCAATGTTAGCCTGATGATGCTGCTTTTCTGCTACTCTACCTCAACCAAAAAGATTCCCTGTAAAGCTTTCCCTTCAGCAAATACTTTCCCGAAACCCAGTGCCAGTGCCAGTGTACCGTGCCAGCCGCCAACCAGGCCAGTTCAAAGAGTGCTCACCAGGACGACTACCATGGAGAGCGTAACCATGGCAGCGCCTGACTCCCACTGACACAACCCAAGCCTTAGAGACCGTCAGGAGCCTCGTTCAAGTCTCGCTCCAGCCAGGTCACCTTCTGTTCCCATCGTGTTTAGGTGGAAATCTTCAACGTCTTGTCACGTTATTCGTGGCGTCCAAATATCCCAGGTGTCCAACTCCAAAGACATGACCGTGCGGAGGATGATGCTCATAGAAAAGATGGACCTCAAAGAGTGCTCGGCAAACCTTTTAAAGCTAACACTCAAATTCTTTCTATGAAGTCTTAATTATTTCATCCGCACGGACCTCGTGGCATCCTGAAGATAAGCCAAAATATGACTGAGGCTAATGCTGCTAAGTTAGCTCTCCAGATGCCAAATTGGTCGACCTGGAACCTCGACGACTCTTGAGTTGGCGGCTGCAGAAGTTTTGACGTGATGCACGGACGACGAGGCGTGTTTCACCTTGTCAGCATATCCAAAAAAAAAAAGTGCTATGAAAACCAAGCTGAAAGATCCCCAAAGATGTCAACATTTCATTTGATGGTTTTCTTTCTTTTCCTTTGAAGAGCTATTTTAACAGAGATTTACTTACTCGTTTGTTTCTGTTTGAAGGGGTCGCCTGCGTGCTAAGTGCTTTAACTGAACCCAAGCCAAAAAAAAAAAAAAAACCTTTTCCTCATGATTTCATTTCCATTTTTTTTAAACAATATATTTCATGTTTGGACGTTTGGACGTCATTGCAGGCGCACCCCTTCAACACAGAACTCTTCTTTTGTTGATTCGTACGTTTATCCTTTTTTCAAAGTGACCAAATGAAGATGTCAGATATTTTCAAAGACTTTAAAGATGGATACTATGAGAAATGCTTTCTTCCCTTTTCTAAAGTAGTTGAATTCTTGCCAAATATTAAGATATTGTAAAGATATATGTTACCAAATACCTCTACATTTTTAACATTCATACTCCTTTACTCTTTGTCATAACCAAAGCACAGAAACATGCGAGAGAGCGTGACAGGATACATGTGTGAACGAATAACTTGAGGTGAACCTTGAGGGCTTCAGCTTTAAGATGGGACCACAAATCCAGACGAAGTATTTCAATTCAACACCTTGCTTGTACACGCCACTAACCTTAAAGTCCAGCTGAGATTGGCCCCCCAAAAAACGAGAAATGTATTCTTCCTATTTCTGGTTTCCTGGTGGTTGGCTGCTTTTTAATTCCCTTCATGAAATCAATCAAGAATTGTATCTATAGAATGGTTTCATAATGCCACAAATATAATACCAAAACAATATTCAGTAATCTTATAAATGTTGGTTTTAAAGGAAGAATGTGTGACTTTTTGATCCAGTCGATGTCGACGTTGAGCATGAAACCAAAACAAACTGACAACTCCGCTATTCTGAAGCCTCAAAAGTCTTACCGCTTAATGTCATTTCTGATGGACTTTTAAAAGGTTCCTGTTCCTCAAACATAAAAAAAAAAATGTAATCAGGGTTGAACAGTATGGATCTGAATTGTGTGTTTTCTCAAGTTTTAATGGTCCTCAAGGTTCACCGTGTCCCTTTATGAGTGTTAGATGAAAACTCAAAGACAGAGCAATATAAAACAAAAGGGTTATTCTTCCCCATCCTTTCTCTCCTACACGACGAAAAACCTGCTGAACCAATGCGATACCAAAAAGTGTATTTGAAATGGAAGAGCCAGAAAGTGGATGTGTTTTTGTAGTGTGAAGTGTGTAGATGTTGAAGTAGTTTTTTGAAATGGAAAGCATCCGTTGCTTCTGTTTGATTCATTTCTCGGCCTCTTTTCATTCGAGTCTTTCGTTCTTCCTGCTGTGCTCAGGACAAGGTGCCAAAACAAATGTTCTCTTTTGTTGGAAAGTTTATTATTGTTATTATAATTATTATTAGCCCTGATAACATTGATTATGTTGATTTAAAAATGTTTTCCTTTTATTTTGAGATGTGTAAGGGAGAGAGACGATTGTTAGGATTATTTTGTGATGGTCTTCTTTCAGCAGCTGATGTGAGTTTTCCAGAGATGGTAAGATTAACTCACATTCTGACCTGAAGAGCCAGCGACTAGAAGATAAGAACTACAAAAATGTATTAAAAAAAATGTAGGAATGTGTAGGCTGGCTGCTAGTACCAAGGAGAAACAAATGCTTTAATGATTTAATGCTTCTCTAAGCTTTCCACGTGTTCTGTAGCCGACTGAAAACTTAAAGCTTTAACCTGTTGTGACCGAGGTCTGTCCTCGGTCTTTGGCCAAAATGAAAAAGTTTTGAGGTTGAAGACAGACCGCCGAGGAGATGCAACGACCAGAGACCAAGCTGGGCTTACAGTGAATTTATTTTACATGTTAATGTCAAACATTTTCAAAAAAAAAAACAAGTCTTTTTAATGGTGTCAGTTCATGCAAGTGACAAAAAAAATCTCAAGTTAGGGTTCATTTCAGTTTGTTTCCTGTACATTTAAGATTAGATTTTATATCTTTAACATTTTATTGCAAATTAATCCGTAAATCATAAAACACTTTGCTTAATTCAGAATATGCATCGGTGTGTTTGGACCAAGAAGATTCCTGGGACTTTTTTAAGAGGAGCTATCCACTAGGGACTTCCCAGAGAACTTTACTTTTTTGTCTGCATTCGCACCGCCATGGTGCTGAGAGAGTACCTGCTCTAAAGCAGGAGCTAAAAAGGTTCCTCGAAACGAGCCTGTAGGAATTAAATAGTTCATAGTTCTTGCGGTGCGGATTCAGTAAAAAAGGGCTAGGAGTTCCAACAGTTCCTAGCACAGACCATATGGCCTTATGTTACACTAAAGTCCTGTTTCCACTAAAAAGCAGGGTGGACCTTAAGTTCCTGGTATCATTTAGCAAAGACCCATTTTCTACAACTTCCAACCAGTCTATTATAGCAGGAACATTTTTGGGGTTCAAAATGAAGTCCCCTAAACTTCATTCAGACCCTGGACCATGATCCCCAAAGGTTCTGGTTCAAATGGAACATTCCTGTAGTTAAGGGCTGCTTACTGTCAGCTGGAACTTTTTATCCAATAATAATAAACAGGAAAATCAAACCAGTTTTAGCAAACATTAGCGTCTCATTTTAAAGAAACAAAACAAAACAATGTATTTTTTGTGATTTGATTGGACTGACCCTTTAACGTTATTTATTTATTTATTTAGCCTGAGACAACACGAGCACTTTGCCATGGAAAAGGTGGCGCTAATTGGACAAAGTCTCCCCCAAAATGTGCATATTCATTTTGGGTAAATTCAGTTAGAAATATTTCTAAAGAATACAAAAGAACAATAATTTAAGATTTGAAAAATATGGATTGATAACAGTATAAATTAAGGATTGATTAAGAGAAACGTTCTGCTTTCTCTCTTAATGCTTCCGAACAGCTTGGTCTCTGTGTGACTGCAGATCTGAACGTCTGGATCGACCTCGACTTTTCTCCTTATTGAACACATTCCAGTATGCCTAAAACCAAATAAATAAATTTTGTTTAATTAATGGATCTCTCTGTCTACTTTTTTCTTGTTAGCATTAGTTTAGCCCAGTAATTTCCTGGAAACCCCCATGTCTCAGTTTATGATAAAGTCCATCCTCTCCATCTTTTGCCTGCTCCACTTTTCAGAAAATGTTTGGAGATTTTCCCTTCCATGACATCACAAAGGGCAGTAACCCCTCCCTCAGGTGGGTGACACTCCCACAGCTAGGTGTTTGTTCTGCCCTCTGAGTCTGCCTTCTCACCGTAAACAATAGGACATGGAGCGAGAAAGCCTGAGACACCCAAGCCCTTCCAGAGAGGGGGCGTGGTCAGAAACAGCACAATTACATTTAAAGGTACAGACACAGAAACAGCCTGTTCTGAGCAGGGCAGAAATTGAGGGGTTTATAGACAACTTCAAAGACTTGTTTTGGTGAGCCTTATTTAAATTGGTTAAAAAAGATAATAATATGTGACCTTTAATAAGTGGCATGAGCCCCTTAAGAGAGATAGAGAGATCCTGCAATTTAGCAGAGAAAGACCATGACTATAATTTCCTTTACAGTCAATGAAATTCCTGCTGCCCAGGTGTATGATTTTGGACAAAGAGACTATACTGACTCAATTTATATTCAGTTGACAATTTTTAAATACCACATTACACCTGTGATTCTGTGTATTTAAGTCATCTCTACGGTTACAGTAAATGTGACAGTGCAAGGCCTCTCTTCAGCTCTTTTTGGTTGTAGTAAAACACGTTGACATTCATTAATATTGAAATTTGCAGCAGACTTTATTGAGCATATATTAGACTCTGATACTTCACACCATCTTGCACTTAAGAGAATATAATTGTGGTGCACTCACATTCATTGTTACATATAATTAACATAAATTGTACATTTGATGATCATATAGTGTTGCATACATTACTAGTCAAATCTTGCTATTACAAATATTTTGGTAAATAATGACATCCTTTTATATTTCCATAAAATCTCTCTAGAGGCTATGATACAAACTACCGTTCAGAGTAGTTTTTACAATCATGCAGGAGGTGTTGATTATCCAGTTGGCAGAGGTAGTGTTGAAACAGACTGTATGGATGTGCTTAGTGTTGCGAAGAATCAAGTTCAATCAGACTTCAGTGGAGAGCAAAGTGAGTAGATGTGAAAGTTAAACAGGTGGAAGGTTTGCCAGGAAGAAGATTACCAGGAGAGTAAAAACAGGGTGTAATGTGACAGACTAGTGTTGAAGTCAATCCCACACTAACTGAGACCAGAGTGCTCCGAGACCAAGACAAGACCAAGACATTTAGGGATCGAGACCGAGTCAAGGCCAAGACCAAGACCAAGGCAGGGCAGGGTTTCCGTCTCGTGCAAAAAGCGAGACCTTCAAAAAGACTAAGGACTAAGGGACTAAGACTTCAAAAAGACTAAGGACTAATTTTTTTTGTTTTTAAAAATGATGCAGCTGTAAAAAAAAATCTAAAATCTGCATTATTCCTGACAGCCACCAGGGGCAACGGTCCTGCGTGGTGAAAGTAGGCCAGTACGGTCCAGCACTGCATACCACTAAAAGGTTCAGTGGTGGTATGCAATACTGGAAATAGATGATATCTGCCAAAACCCACATTCAAAACCAGTCACAGTCATGCTCTCAGCCGTTTAGAATTACATCACAGAGCAGTCCACTTCCTGTACTCGGATCCGGGCCCGGGTCCCTAATGTGAAAGTGTATATGCAGTGTGTGTTGTTGTTGATGTCTCAATCAAAGACAAAGAATATAATGTTTGATTTCCTTTAATGTTGTGAAACTTGAAAATTAACCCTAACCCACTGTGTCGTAAAGGTGTATGAGTGTCGGGTATTTATAGCTTTGATTATGTTTATACCGGAAGTGGTGTATGCAGAATGTGGCAAGGCCAGGCGAGAGTTGCTGCAGTTAGAAACCCACAACCTGGCAACGACCAAAATGCCAAAGTCATAGCTTCGTCTACGGACCAGTGGGCGACATCAGGGTGGGTAACATTGTAACAGAGGTTAGATCTGTTTTAAGTTACCCTTTCATGTCGGTTTCAACATACTATCAGTTTTCATTTTTAGTCATGATTAGGTCTGTTTTGAGGTACCTTTTGGCATGCATCTGTCAGGAAAGCTTCCTTTCATTCTTACATGTGGATAGGCCTGTTTTAAGTAACGTTTTTAGGCTGTTTACAGTAACCTTTAGTTGGCGTTTTGAGGTACCCATTGGATCTTAAAAGTTGTTATTTGTTCCATTTTTACATGTGGTTAAATGTGCTTAAAGGTGCCCTGAAATGTCCGCTTCTAGGTACTATTAACAACTCTTTTACAGTTCACTTTCTTTTATTTAAACCATGATGAGATTTGTATTTAAGTAACCTTTTGCCATTCATCTGTTTTCAGGTCCAGTAGCTGGGGCTTCTAGGTATGCTGGCATCTCTTTCAAGGTACCTTTAGCTTCTGTTTCAAAGTCTGTTTTCTTCCTTACTAAATGGCCATTGGGTCTGTTTACAGATGGAGTCAAGTGGGTGTTTCAGTGTACAATTTAATGTCTTTTTGTAGTTGGTTTAGTGTCTGTTCTATGTTCATTTGCCTTCCTTCTAACACATGGTTAAGTCCGCTCTGAGGTTCCCAAATTTACATCGTCTATCAAGGAATTCTTGGGTAAAGGGCCAACATTTTGGGGCTTCTGGTGCAGCTATCTGCTATTCCGCAAGCATGACTTACAACTTGAGACAAAATTTAGTTGGAGATGGGAGTAGAGGAAAAATTCCCACCTGAAAGGTTGTGGGTCAATTCTTCTTGGACTTCAAATGTAAACAAGAGCGCTCCAGACACCAAAATTCTTGTTGCATATTAATTTTGTACTCATATGTAGATATCTGAGATTAGCATGGAGGTTCCTGCTGCGAGGGAAGCCATATTAGTAGTAGGGTATTGGCACACATGGGTCTTGCAGCACATTTGTTCTCTTTGTGATATCAACAGTCCATCGAGAACAAGGGCCTACCATCAGACACTGCAATAAACGAAAGTTGGTGCAGACTTAGAGTCTCTAAGAGCATGAAAACCAAAGTAGCTCACCATGCAGTCATGTGCTCTTGGATTTCTCTGAGCTTGAAATTGCTGACATCTTTATTTTAGACATTAAGTTCATCGTAGCAGTGTCAAAGTCCGTTTAGCTTGGGTTCCCACTGTGCGGGTTTGAGCTCAAATCAGACTCCATCTCCACACCGCCTCCGTGACATCGCCCGGAGAGGCGGTCCACAGAGCGAGGCGAGGCATTGTTGGCTCGACGACCTCTGCAGCACGCCAACACGTCGGCGAGGTCGGCTCTGAAGGACGGGGTGAAGAAGCTGTAGATGACCGGGTCGCAGCAGGTGTTCAGGTTCCCAAACACAAACAGTATGTGGTGCACATACTCGGGTGTGTGCTTGATCATGGCTGGCTGAAACCAGTACCAGATCCCCAGGAGGTAGTAGGGGGTCCAACAGATGACGAAGGAGCTGACGATGACGATGGTCATCTTCAGGGTCTTCATCCGAGCTTTGGGTATCATGTCGGTTCCACTGCGTCTCAGACAGTGTTCCCCCTCTGCTGAAACACAGAAAAAAATCAGCAAATCAACAGCCCACATTGTCTGCTTGTAAAACCAAACCAACACTTCCAATTGGAAGCCAAATGAGTTGCATTTTTACGATTGGAGATACCCATCTTGGGCCCAACCATTGTTGTCCGTACCCAGTTTCCATATAAGGCTCTTATGGGTCAGCCCAGATGGGTATATGATGCTCCTTGAATGGCTCCATTAGGGCTCATAATGTATAAATGTAACCCACTTCTAACCCATTTAGTATCCATTTGAAACCCATGTATCATCTCTTTGGATGCACATGTGGACCCAAACAGCAACCTCTTCAAAGTCCACCCTGAGATCCAGTTTAAGCTTAAGTAACTCGGGTAAGACCCATTTTATTGTTTTTCAGATCTGATTTTAACAAAATAAATGAAAAGTCATCAGAGTAACGAAAACATTTATAGAAATGTAGTGGACACAAAGGTACCATATTTGTCTTTCAAATGTGGTGGGGTATAAGTTTCCCCAAAAAATGATAATCCAGTAAAGTATAGATACTCCAAAATGGACTTAAGGAACTGAACTGAATGAACTGAAGTAAATGTATTTAGTGACTGTTCACCACTGGTCACTCTTACATCTTACGAGAAGCGTGAAGCTTTGAATCAGAAACAGCTGCTCAGATTTGTACGTTAACATGATTTAAACCGTGAGTATACCAATAAAAAACAAAACTTAGTAAGACCCAAATTATTATATTTTGTAAATCATCAGCAGCTTTGTGCAATGCTGGGTGCAAAAATGTCCCTTCAAGCCCTCCGTAGAGTCACACACCTTTGCTCTTGTGCATCTGCCCATTGATCTTGGTGAGGATGCGGGTGTAGCAGAAAGTCATGACAAGCAGGGGGAAGACATACAGCGTCACAAAGTGAAACATGTTGTATGCCGTCTCCTGCCACAGATACTGGAAACTTCCGTGGGTCACACACTGAGTGAAGTCCACGCCGTCTGCTTTAATGGCCCGGAAGATGAAGAGCTGAGGATGAAGAGAGATGAGGGATGAGTTTCATGCTGTCACAGAAGAACACAACTGAAGTTTGTTTTTTTTATATATGAAACAAACTTTATATTGAACAAAGTAGACAAAGAATCTCCCACCTGAGATGCCTCTTTGTCTCCATGTTGTGCATTAAAGTCATTTTAATGCACATATTAAACATCAAAATACTTGTTTTGGAGGTTGATGAAGCTGTTTGTTAACTGTGCCTTTTCTGCAGAATGGAGCTGCATGTGTTATTAAGTTTAAGCCGACATTACATTTACAACTGTGGTTAAATTTACGCTAAACTACTGAGCATTAAATGTTTGGTAATGACAGTAATGCAGAAGAATAATTCAGTTTTTACACACACTTTGGTTCAGTCCTAAACACGCACACGTCCTGCTGCCTTAAACAGCACTAGAGCAACACATATGTATTCATCCGCTGTTGAAAATAGTCCCCAAACAGACAAACTTATTTCTCCTGCTCCGGGAAAGGTGCATCCTCAGTAGGAACCAAAGAACTTGGAAGAGAGGAACTTTGTTGCCCGTATGATGAATAAAGAATAATCCTCCCTCTTTGGAAGTGCAAATCAAAAAGCAAAAAAGGAAATAATTATTAGAATCGGTTTTGTTGTTTTGATTTAGTTTGACAACTCACCACTTTGGATGAGATAAAGCACCTCTAAAAGGCCCCAACAAAAAATTAAAATTGAGAGTTGACATTCACTTTAGGAGGCTTTAAGAAGCTTTTTTGAAGGTCTTGCTTTTGAAATTATGCCGACCAACTTTCATAGCCCCAACTTCCTGACTACTACTGCGGGGGCTCATTCATGCAATTGTTCTAAAGGTCACATATGCTCTCCAGAAAATATCTAGATAATTTCGGGAGGACTGCTCAGTAGTCGTAGATCGTAGCAGTCGCATGCATACACTCTATGCACCGTGCAGCAGTCACAGTATATAAACTGTCACTCCCTCCTCCTATTGGCCTAAGGTGAATTCTCCAGAGAATATTCTGCTGTGTTCTCACATCAGCTCACTCAGACTTGCTGCAGAAAAAATACTAGGGGTCTGTCAGGAGAAAATCTGGGTGAAGTCAGAGTGAAAATTTCAGCTATTCAGGAGATTTCTGCAAGTGTGAAAGCCCCATGTAATTGTGTTTGTTTCAGTGTTCAGGTTTAATTTCCTGTTTTAATTTGACATTCATCCCTGTGTTCTTGTGTTTCTTGCATGTTCCCGTGTGTTGCTTTAAGCCTTTAAGCCTTATTGCAGATTATTGCTGCATCTAATAGCAAACCCGACCCAGCAGAAAAAGAACATCACCAACTTCTGGGAGAACAAACAAAGGTGTGTGCCGATTTTTATTTTCCGGGAGAGATTGTTGAGGTTCTTTAAAGTGTTGAACTGATACAGAATACTGATAATACTGCCTTTAAAAAAAAAAAACAGGTCTTCTTTTCTGTGTGTGCAGCCTGCATGCTCTCCTGCAGGTGATCCTTATTGGATTAGGAGTGTCTGTCAAGGTTGGCCTTTTCATGCCTGCCTCTCACCTAATGCATGCTGGGAAACAGCCTTGACAGTGGGGTAACCTTACAGGAATACAGAATGGAGCAGACGGTATGAAGGGTCAGTAATCTGTCCACAAACACACCAGTTATCAGTTCGGTCTGACACACAGGTTTGCAGCTTCTGGCCTGCAGGTTTATCAGTGACAGATCAGTTTCAGGCTTGGCTATTTTTGGCTCGTCCTCACAGAAAGGGCTGCAGTCTGAAAGATGCAGTTTAAGGACTCGTGTGATGAAACAAGAAACCCTCAGGAGGCGCGTTTCATCCAGTTAACCCTGTAAAAGAAGAGCCTCTCCATTCATGGGTAAGTCTGGTATTTGTAAACCTTAGCTTTTTAATATTTTGGCTCTAAAACACGCTGCAAGGCATCGACAATATACTTGATGGAAGTGTGACTTTTGTTTTGTCACTGACAGAATCAAGCCCTCTTCAGACTGCCGTTTCAAGCCGTGGTAATAACCCCCCTGTGACGTTTCTCCTTTCATCTGACTGTCCTGGAGGCGTAATGGGAGGGACTAACTGATCACCCCTCTGTACCACCGTCTTCAGAGGTAGTAAAAGAGGCATTACAGAGGCGAGACGTTTCAGCAAAGCCAGCCGAAGAGCGCCATTCTGTGTGTGTGTGTGTGTGTGCATGTCTGTCTGTGTGTGTTTATGTGAAGCTCCCGCTGTGCTGTGCTTGAAAAATGCAATAACACAATGTGTTTCTCACATTGTGTACTCACAGACTGGGACAACATCATTACGCCATCGCCATGAATGTACAAAGACGTGATGGCAGCTGAGCTCAGTTACAGCACTTGTGTCTGAGAACTTTACGAAAAAAGACCCCTAAAAACACAGACCTTTTTGTTAAACAAGGAAGATGATTGTTTTTATCCAGCAGCAAGCTTTCTCTCTTTACACTCACCAGACACCATGAACAAAAACAATGATTGAACCTAACTGTACATGGGCCTCACTGATCTACCGCGGCCTGTAACTGTTCGGTTGTTTGTGATATTCTGTCACACAAATGTTTTCAAACTAACCCTCTCTATCACCAAAGTAACACATTGATGTATATACCAATAAAAAAGAGGCAGCTGTAGACGAGCAGCTCCTGTGTTAGGTGAGGCATAATCATTCTTATTGTCAATGGGGTCTAGACTCATTTTATAAAAATCATCTCTCTCCCCAACAAAAATCTATACTTCTGCAGGGATTCTTTCTCTAATGTTGTGAGCCAAATTCTAAGCATACCTAAAAATCATTTATACATTTAGCTTTTTGTTATAACTAGAAACAGCTGTTACATCCCTCTCTTTAAAACCAACAGGCTCTATTAACTAACAGAGATTTCACCTCACAGGACATGGAGTCTACTCATTCCACAGTTGGTAAGTTTTTTTTTTTACTTGTTGGATCTGAATTAACTGTTGATAATACCAAAGCAGCACACCAGCATCTTCCTTGTTCTTTCATCTCTTTCAATGGAGTCACGGTGGCTTAGAAGAGAGAGACGTAACAATGTGAGTCTGTCAGTGACAAAAAGAAGAACTTTTTAGTGGGCACACTTTGATCCTTTAGGATTATGTGGCAGTCATCACAGACGGTTTCACTGCTGCAGGATGAGGAATTCTGGAGGCGAAATTCCACAACTTTTGAACATTTCATACATTTAGACTGCAAAATATGGTTTGAAAAAATGGACGAAAAATACTGGTGTCACTACCCGCTTTGACCTGAAGTCAGCTTGTAGGTTTGACCCTTGTGTACCTGTGGAGAGGCGAGCAGCAGACTGAGGGTCCAGGCCACCAGCAGCATGCGTCTGTTCCTCAGTCCAGCATCCAGAGAGTCCAGAGGGTGGAGGATGGCCCGGTACCGGTCCAGACTCACCACCACCAGTATGAACGCCGCAGAGTGCATGGCGAACAGCTTCAGGAAGCACAGCAGCTTACACATGACGTCCCCGGCATACCACTGCACAGTGATGTTCCACACGGCGTCCAGCGGCATCACCACGAACGTCATCATCAAGTCAGCCAACGCCAGGCTGGCGATGAGCGGGCGCAGGTGTGCAGCCAGGCGATAGCCCCGCCCCCAGCACACGCTGATCAGGACGGACAGGTTACTGCAGGCGGCGAACACAAACAGCACCAGGGTGGCTGCTACACGACACTGAGCCGCCACGGTGAAGGTAGGCGCCTTCCAGGGGGGAAGAGAGGGGGTCGAGGAGGAGTTCATCAGGACGGAGACGTTCAGAGGATCATCAGACGGGGAGACCCACAGAGACAGGTTCACTGACATCCTGAGGGAGATCATTAGAGCGTTAGACAAAACAGAACATAACAATATTAAAATCACTAAGAAACTTTCGTTCTGTCTTTTTAGATTCACATTTATTTGTCCAAGTGAGAGATTTGTCAGCTGAACATGGAGAGACAAAGATCTACACGTAGCAGCACTCAGATTAAATCAAAACAAACCAACATTCAAACATAAAACATTGTGAGTGAGGCTGCAGAGGAGAGAAAGCTCCTGCTGCAGAGAGCTCTCCTCCTCTCTGTTCATGTTGGAGGGTAAATGTTTCAAAGATGTGACTTATAGCAGGTTTAAATATCTTCCATCATAACTAACACATGACAAGTTATATCCCGCACAGGTTCCTGATTTCATTACAGAAACTGTGATATCACACCTCCAGGCCTTTCATTCTGCTGTATCATGGTGCCTCTGTGTTAAAGGTTTACATGAGATACTCTCTGCAGTCCGCATCATTCATATTTCATGTCTGTATTTTTGGTTTCTAGATATTTTCGGTTAATGGATGTTTTTCAGTGCAGTGAAGGAGAAAGATGAGGAGAAAGTGAGTCAGAGTCGGAGGGAATGTTTTCTTCTCCTTAGAAATAATCTGGCTTTTTCTGTGAGATTTGCTATAAGTACCCTATATCCTAAATAAAAATAAACTTAAATTAAAACATAAAATACAAAAGGCGGAAAGTAGTGGTTAAAGGTGCACAGTCGATAAAAAGACGATATGAATTCAAAGTCAGACCACAAAAATCAGCTTTGAGAAGCGAGTTAAAAGATGAAACTTGGGTTGCTGGTGGCGCAGTGGTTAGTGCGCGCACCCCATGTATGGAGGCCGTGGTCCTCAAAGCAAGCAGTGTGGGTTCAAATCTGACCTGTGGATCCTTTCCCATATGTCACTCCTCACTCTCTCTCTCCCCGAGGTGATTGGGCTCACAGGTGTGAAAGGAGGGGCACAAACACCAAATAACCCCCAACACATGCAAAAACAGAAAGAAAGAGAACTAAAGAGGCGGACAAATGTACACATGAAGATACACGACTATATGAGAAGGAAACAACAACGTAAAGGGCAAAAGAACCCAGAAAACAGTTCATACTACGACTCCTCTGCTCCACTCTCGTGTGGACTCAGTTCTAGGCCCTCTCCTCTTCTCTCTCTATTTGCTCACCGCTCGGTTCAATACTTAGGAAGCATGGCATTTCATTCCACTGTTATGCAGACGACAGTCAGATTTATGTGCCTCTTAAAAAGAACAATGGAACGAGGGAAACTCTGGATTGTCCAATTCAAAGAGGGAGCTCAGTCAAGCCCGGGAAAGAGGGGTAGGCTAACTCAAGCCCATTAAAGTATGAGGACCTTGTTTTGTCACCTGTTGCCATGGTGAATCGTAGTATCGTGGCTCCATTTATATTGGCTGTTTATAGCCGTGGTTCATGCGTTGGACTCTGACTGAAGAAAATCAGAGTTCATTAAACAAACCCACATCAGCTGTTATGGAACCAGAAACTGAGACTGTCCCAGATCAGGCTCAATCAACTCAATGCAGATTTGAGCCTCATATCTGAAATCAGGCCCTGATGTCTCACCTGTCCCTGAATACCCCCACTTTGTTTAGTCCTTGTCCTATTTTGTCTCTAAGTTTGTCAAAACAAACCATATTTTCTAGTTTAAACTTTGTTTGGACTCCATGGGGTTTCTCTGTTTTAAGTTCTGGACCTTATGCTTCTTCAGAGTTCCCATCTCTCACTCCTTGTTCGGGTGTTCGCCCCCGCTGGCTCTACCTGTGTTGTCATCTTTTCTGATGGATCGTGTCCTTTTCTCTTTCATATCGATTCCCCTCGACTTTATAACATTAAACCTTTTGTTTCGGTCAGCTCTGGGATGCTCCCGCTTTTATGATAAGAACAAATGTGGCAGAACTTATACAGAATTAAAAACATAAAATAAAGAATATGAAGTCTGTTGTGTGTGTGTGTGTGTGTAGTATGCACACACACAACAGACTCAGTGTGTGAAATGTTCATTTATGAACGTTAGACAAAGAGTGCATTACGCAATGTATAAATGTATGAATTAGGCACAGTTGGGACCCCTCCAGTACCCATCTAAACTCTCTTCATGGTTTAACATTTGCCCCAACAGCAAGAGCCCATCCTGAGCCGAGTCAGAGCCCACCTACTGTAACCCAGGTAAGGCCCCATGTGGGCTCCACTCTGTCACGTGTGTTGAAAGGTCATAATGTACAAAAAGCTAAAGACTGAAGGAAACATATGATGTAAAATTCAAATCAAACAGCATGCTTTGATCGCGGATATTTGCACGTTGTAACCGGCCTCCTCCTGCAGAAAACGCTGGCGTTATTCAGATTTAAAACGGTGCAGCAGCGCCCTCTGCCGGCTGCACGCTGCACCTCTTCATCTGTTGTTGCACCAAAGACCCCGGTGTGAGTCTTTCAGCAACATGATGATTCATTTCCACTCAATAAAATCAAACAGCCTCCTCGTAAATCCTCTGCCCGCTTTATAAAGACGCTCTGAGAGTATTCATTCTCCTCTTTCTGTCACTTTCTCATCATCCTCAGAGGAGTCTCACACACTGCATCACTTTTACATATTTCACAAGAGGAGGGGGGGGGCGCGCCCTCGTCCCCCAACGACCTGAACACACACTTAAAACACTAAATGTAAAATCACACTTTCATTGATTCTGTGCAACAACAGAGAAATAAATCTGGTGTTACCTGAGGAAGGTCTGCTCGGTCTATCGGCGCTCCGGTGGAGATAAAACCTGCAGGATTCCGTTCCCGGATCGGAGCTGTCCAACGTGCTGAAGCATCACTTCTCCCGGTGTCTGCCTTCCGGCGCTTTCACCCTCCCACACACACACACACACACACACACACACACTTTTTATCACCTATAAATCCTCGATTTAACTCGATCAGAGTGATTCTGTGTAACGCATACATCCCCCCTGAGCTCTCTGCCCTCCACGATGAAAATGTCCTGCATGAACGCCGCGAGGATCGATGCCGATTGGTTAATTAAGGCGGGTGACGTGCGGGGTGTCGCAGCGGTAGACTGCACCTTTGTGATGACAGACATCCTGGGGAATTTTCGAGTATGAGCGGTGTGAAGATCTCTTTGTGAGAAGAAGCTGAAACACCAGATCTGATGTTATTCTCAGAGACACGATTTCATTTCTTACTCGATATTTGAATCGTCACTTATTCTGTCATCTTGTGTTTTCAGTTCATGCACAGTCAAGGTTTACAAAGTCTCTTAAATTATCTGCAATGTGTTCTTTTGATTTATTTATTTATAATTTATTATGAGCCACAGTAGCAATTGTACCAGAGTAGAAACCGTTCAGGCTATACATGAAATAATAATAAGATTCTTAAAATCCAAAGCTGAAGAAAAGGAGAGAAAAATAAATAAGTACAACTGTTATAATGGAAAATCGATTGCAAAGACGATTTTCAAATAACTTACAACAAAAATAATCGTCAGAGTGACTTTCTAAACTAGGGTTGGGAACGGCAGAGTAAATCACGACATGACAGGGCATGATACGATACCAAACGATAGTGTTGTAGTCAAGAGCACACAAACCGAGATCAATACATGAGATCAGAGTGCTCAGAGATGAAAATCATCATCTTGTGTGCGGGGAGCGTGTCACTCACTTAGACCAGTGGTTCTCAACTGGTGGGTCGGGACTCAAAAGAGGGTCGCGGAGCTGTTTTCATTGGGTCATGAATGTGTGCCTGGAAGAAAAATGCTGTGAAAAAGTCTTTGAGGTGCTTTTTCAAAACAAGTTTGTTAAATTCAGTTTCTTCCTTCTATCACGCTTTGAACCGCCTGAGGTCTAAATTGCAAAAATCTTTGTTAAGTAAAACTGATTGACTGAAGAATATAAGACATTTGGGTCGCGATTTGTCATGAAGGAGTAGTTGGTGCGTCCTGAGGCGCGACCAGTTAAGAACCACTGACTGGGGGTGGAGTCCATGGGTGGAGATATCAGGGGAGGGTATTTCTTTTACCAGAATCCCACTGTGACATCACAAGGAGAGCACATTTGAAACAGAGAATCTTTCTCTGTGTTGTAAGACTTATGCAGACCACAAACAAAGGACTGGATGGGTTTATTTCACATTTTGTGGGTCAGTAGACACTCAGGTTACCCAAATATATGTTCAAAAGCACTGAAGAAGAGGATTTTTCATAATATGTCCCCTTTAAGTTAGGTTACCATCACTGCTGTCTATAATACTTTGTTTACATTTTATATTTCTTCAGTAAGAAAATGTCCAAACATTTTTCACTCTATTCCCATTTTGATGAAGACAAGAGTTAGTTATTAATTAGTTTTATTTAGACTAACATAACACATAAAATAACACAGATTCACAGTGTACAATGGCTGACATTACACAGTACTGCAGGTCATGTGAGAGGTTGGTTGGTTTATGTATCACAGCTTCTATTCTCGACACATCACCTGAGTCACCTCGAAGACGCTGTCAGACCGTCTGTTCATCCATCATCATCAGATGCAGATTTATGACTCTGCCCTGCAAAGAGGCTCTTTATGCTGTCTGAGATGTGTCGCTGTCTTGTACCTCCTCCTCCTTTTCTCTTCTCTTTCCTCATCTCCTCTCCTTTTGTTCTCTTCTCTTTCCTCCTCTTCTCCCTTTCCCTCCTCTTTCCTCTTCTCCTCTCCCCCTTCCTCCTCTCCTCTTTCCTCCTCTCCCCTTTCCCCCTCTTCTTTCCTCTCCTTTTTCCTCATCCTCCTTCTCTCTTCTCTTTCCTCCTCTCTTTTTGTTCTCTTCTCTTTCCTCCTCTTCTCCTTTTCCCTCCTCTTTCCTCTTCTCCTCCTCTCCCCTTTCCTCCTCTCCTCTTCCCTTTCCTCCTCTCCTCTTTCCTCCTCTCCTCCTCTCCCCTTTCCCCCTCTTCTTTCCTCTCCTTTTTCATTCTCCTCCTTCTCTCTTCTTTCCTCCTCTCCTTTTGTTCTCTTCTCTTTCCTCTTCTCCTCTTTCCTCCTCTCCTTTTGTTCTCTTCTCTTTCCTCCTCTTATCCTTTTCCCTCCTTTCCTCTTCTCCTCTCCCCTTTCCTCCTCTCCTCTTTCCTCCTTTCCCCTTTCCTCCTCTCCCCTTTCGTCCTCTCCCTTTCCTCCTCTCCTCTTTCCTCCTCTCCCCTTTCCCCCTCTTCTTTCCTCTCCTTTTTCCTCATCCTCCTTCTCTCTTCTCTTTCCTCCTCTCCTTTTGTTCTCCTCTGTCCTCCTCTTATCCTTTCCCTCCTTTCCTCTTCTCCTCTCCCCTTTCCTCCTCTCCTCTTTCCTCCTCTCCCCTTTCGTCCTCTCCCCTTTCCTCCTCTCCTCTTTCGTCCTCTCCCCTTCTCTCTTCTCTCATACACTGAACGTGCAAGTGACCTGTTCCAGTCGCTCCTATTTGTTTTCTTACCTTCATGTATTATTTGTGGCAGCAGTAGCTCAGTCTGTAAGTACTTGGTTCAAGTCCCGGTGCGGACCAAATCTGGAAATTGGTGTTGTAGCTGGAGAGGTGCCAGATCACTTCCTGTGCACTGACTATGTGTCCTTGAGCAAGGCACCAGCATTGGCCTTCAAAATCCAACAGCCTGATTACCAAATAGTCTAACTCATGGTGCTCCATGTGGAGGCTCAGGTGACGTCTACAGGTTTAAAGCGAGAACATGGAGCACTTTGTATCCCAGTAATGAATTAATCTCTGTTATCTTTTTGTGATCTAATTTTCCCTGTAGGTTTCTTGTTGTACTTAAAGGTGAAATTACTGAGTTTTGCTAAATACTACGTAAAGTATTTAACATTTGTGTTGCATCATGTCGTACTGTGAATGCTATTTCAGGACAAAAACCCAACACTTCACCAGAACGAGGAAAAGGTAAATTATTTCCACACTTGCATGCATTTCTATATGTATCATGGCCTCATGAAGCCAAAACCAACATGAATACTTTTGGTTGTGTTTTGAAATGATCATATCAGTGTTTAGGATCAGTGTTTGTCTTTTCTTACTGGTTTTACTATTTTTATCTTCTTCTACTTCTTACTGTCCTTTTATTTATGCTCATATCTTAACTCCTCTTGTGTTTTAACTTGGTAATTTCTTATCTTACTTACTTTGTCTATTTATGTTTTATATTTATATTTACTTTTTATTTGTATTAATATTATAGTTTTGGGGTTCTTCTATCCTTTAACTACTTGTTTCTATTTCTTTTACTGCTCTTACCTTCTTATTGCTGTTATCTTTTTATTTGCTTTCAGCTCTTTTAGTTTCTTACATCTTTTTAAATCTTTGGTCCTCTTGGTCTCAGCTCGTGTTGTTGGGTTCTTGTGTTGCCTGGGTTCTTATGATGGTTCTTGTGATGGTCGGGTTATATATGTCTGTTGGGTATCATGCAATATGGGTTCTTTTCTGTTGAATTGTATTTAATTATTTTTAGTATTTTGCATTATATGTTCTTGCTGCTGTTTATGTTCTTCTATGTTTGGTTTAGTTTGTTCTTGTTTTTGCTGTTTGTCAAAGCACTTTGTAAACCTGTGTTTTTAAAAGGTGCTATATAAATAAAGTTATTACTATTAGGATGTGCGGTGGTGCAGTGGTTAGTGCTGTTGCCTCGTAGTGAGAAGGTTCCTGGTTTGAATCCCTGTTAGACAGGAGCCTCTCTGTGTGGAGTTTGCATGTTCTCCCCATTGGTTGTGTGGTTGACTGAAGAACAGTCCAGGGTGTAACCCTGCCTTTTGCCCAATGACAGCGGGGATTGGCTCCATCCCCCTGAGACCCTGAATGGGAAAAGTGATATAGATAATGGATGCAGTTGGGTGTTTTTGTTCTTGTTTTTTTAAATATTATTATATTCTATTTTAATGACACTACAAAGACAAAGACCAAATACAAGTACAACACAAAAGACATTTTGTGATTGCACAGGAAATTACAAGGTTACCTTACAAGGTTATCTGTCTTCTTAGCAGGTTTAAACACGTGTTCATTGTCTATTTGAGCTAGCTTAAATTACATTCCTCTTGTTTATAACATATTCTTTGATGGATGATCTAGGTCATCACTATAAAGCCCCTGCAGGGCTGAGGCTGCATGTTCCATCATTAAGAGCTCTTAGAAATCATCCAGCAAGTTATGCAAACAAAAACAAAAACAATTCATGAGGATGATCACAGAAAGGAACGCCAGTGCAGACGGACGTTGTGTTACTGCCGACTTTATTCCATTCCCTCTAGCTCCCCAACAAACACACTTCTGGACTTAGTGGTACATTTTCGTTTATTTGTATGCATTTGAATTTGTGACCTCATGAAGCCAAAACAAACATGAACACTTTTGATGGTCGTGTTTGGACTTCACATCACATCAGTGTTTATTTGATACTCTGTGAGACATAAGCATATGACAGCTGTGTGTGTTGTTTTGGTCAAAGGAATCCATTCTGAGCAGAGAGAATGTAGTTTTCAGTGCTGTGAGAAGATATTTTTGAAACTATTTACAGAAACTCTGTTCAGTTTGTGTTTAAGAGTTTGGAAAAACTGAGCCACGATTTCAGGAAATGTGTTTAGACATTTGGGAGAAGCTGCAGTTTGAAGCAGCCGTGAGGATCTTTCTGTTTGTGTGGGTGTTGGCGCCCCCTGTGGACAAAGAAATGTAGTGGGAGTTTGCACACAGAGAGGCTCCTGTCAGACGGGGATTTGAACCAGGAACCTCTCTCCATGTACTCCAGCTTCCTCCCACAGTCCAAAGACACGCTCGTTAGGTTAACTGGTAACTCTAAATTACCCGTAGGTGTGAATAAGTGTGGCTGGT